CCCCAAAACCCCAAAACCCCACCATACTATTAAATTGAAAATAAATTATTGGAAAAATAGCATTCCAATTAATACCAACTGAAATATAAATGCTAAATCTATTTTTTAATTAATGTTAAACTTTCTATATATTAAAAATATTATTCAAGCATTTGTTTTACCAGTCATTTGCTAGTAGCAACTTGAACTTACTAAGATTATCTTTTGATAGGGTTCAAGTTTCTCCTAAGATCTCTCATCTTTTCCTTGCCAATGAACAGTATTACGAATACTTGACCGCAAGTGACTTTATTTTATCTTCTGGAGTAGTATTGAATTTTTCTGGAATTTTGAGATTTGATCATAAGTTGAGATAGTAAGAAGTACAAGATTGAATCTATAACAAATATCATGAGGAAAAAGGTCACAAGTGAGAAGGAAATCCACTCAAGGAAGTGCTGCTTCGTCATTTTCTAAATACAAAATAGATTCGCAATTCCTAAGCCGCCCCATATTATGAACAGAATCCATTTCCCGATAATTTTGTTAATGAATAGCTTTTTATTTTAGTCAATTAATTGACATTCTTCTTAGTACTAGTCACTTCTTATAGAATCCTAGTGAGGTATTGGCTGTGATGGGCCTTCTATTAATTATCTCTACCTTAAAGAATTGCTGTTCCTCACCATACTCAAAGGTTACTCCTTCAGGAATTCAGTATTGTGATGCTCACTATCATTTCTAAGGTTTAAAGTGTGATTGACGTTAGTTACTTCTTAAATAGACTCTGCTTGCTCATCAGCTGATCCACTTCTATTTAGCCCATTACCATCATCACTCTAGACATTGTCATCTATGTCTTTAAGTTTGCTTTCCTACTCCCCTCCTTCATAATGATGCTAAAAGTCATTGTACTAGCTGTTATTTTCCTCGCCTTCTTCATGCTCTTAATTGTTATTTAACTAATTATATTCTGAGAAGTAATTTCTATCTGGGGCAGACATCTGAATGTCATATTGGTTTTAAAATCCAAAAATATTATCTTAGGTTGGATTACTATCTTATTGAACGATGCTCTGAGGCTAGTCCATTAGATTAAAGTCGTCATCATCAAACATGCCTTTTTGGTATTTCGGTCCAACATTAATGTCAGGTAGATGGAATCCACCAGCATTTCCTAGATCATTATCTTGATTATTATCTTATTTATTATGCTCAAATGAGATACTTCTTTGAAGCTTTTCTTCTTATAATTTAGATTCTTCCTCTTCTTGACTAGGCTGTTCAGATATTAATTGTCTGTGCTACATTGAAATCTATCCTAGATATTAATCCTATTAAGTATCCATTTTCATTTTCTTGCTTGATGAAGAGTTTTTGCTTCTAGAAGTGTACTTGGCATTAGACTCTCTTGATTGAAAATGAGGGATTACATCTGGGTGAGATGGATTTGATTACTCTTAACTTTAGTTTCTAACAAATTAAACATTGTCTTGCTTGACATTCACAATACTGCTTAAATCTGATCTTTTGCTCTCAGCAATTCCAGAACTTTCATATTGCTTTAGCATTGTTGAGTTACCTTCCAGATCAAATAATTTTGGTAAAGTAATTAATTTTAAATTCTTGTTTTCAAAGTCATCATCCTTGGGATCAAAGGAAATCATTTTAAGCTAATTATCATGTTTATGATTTATTTCTATGCTTGTTGTGGCATAATCAAAATCTTCTACTTTTGAGTCTGGTTCATAAAGTAGCATATACATCAGCTTTATTGCCTAGGGTCTCCCAAATAGAACAATAATAACAGTAATTATGAATAGAATGATTAATTCTTCTGGATTTTGCTAGCCCAATTCAGACATATTATCTGAAAGCATATACTAATTAACTGCAAAAATTATGGATACAGACATGAAGTATATTTGCAGAAGACTATTCCTTATCCATCGTTTAAGGAACTTATTGTAAATTAGAAACAGATTGATGTAAGGATTGAAGTTTTGAATGATCCTCAAGAATAATCGACATCTATTCTTAGCTGCTGTTTAAGTTATGCATATCTCAAAAAGATCATCTGTTTGATTTTCGTTTAGCTCTTAGTGCTCATCTTTATACTTTGCATATAAGACATAGCTTGATATTACAAATATCACTAGAGTGAGAATTGCTAGAATCATAAAAAGAGTTTTTTCTTAGTAGTAGACATATTTAGAATCTTCAGTACTCTAAGTGTTATTATCATTTGCTATTGTATCATTCCATTTCCCATCAATTGTTTAGTTGTCAGTTTTGTTTGGTATTATTACAACATCTGTTTACTATTTACTTAGATCGATTATGAAGAGTGTGTAATGTCCAAAGCTATTTGATTTGCATCTCACAACTCCTGTGGCATTAGTGTAGCTCACAAAACTAATTTAATTTGAAGCTGAAGACCAGGACTTGGACAGATCTGATCTAAATGCGCAGAAGAATGTCAAAAGAGAAGATGAATTCTTTTTCATTTAGTCTTAAGAAAGCTAGAAATTGACATAAACTGGCTAAGAAAGACCCTGAATCAATTAAACCAAAGACTTGCTATCGTAAACAGTGACTGAAACTGAACTATCATTTCTGATAAGAAAGAAGCTTCCTCCAACGAACTTAGAATTTACTAATAAAGCCTATGGGTAACTGAAGCTCTCAATTGTTGGGATATTTACAGGGTTTGAAGGTATCTCATAAAATACCAATTAATAACCAGCATTATTATAAAAAACAGTCTCATCAGAATAATAGTAGAATTATAGCTCGCTTTAAACTCTTTGTAATATAGATTCTCCAAGGGAAAAATACTAATTCTCACTTAGCTGTATCATTATTTAGTATACTTTGGTAGCTGCATCTGGAAGTAATGTTGTGAGATAGAATTCTCCTGAACTTACAATCGCATTTAGCAGTTAAACTAAGTTATTTCCATTGTTAATGTTTGGATTTTTAAACACAACATGACTTAGAAGTTCTATAATGTTTTATTTAACCAGGATTAGTCTTTCCTTAGAAGTTATGCTACTTAGTCTCTTGTCTATTAGCACTGTGTTATAAAGATAGTTAACAGTCTTTTCACTCATGCTTTTGAAATAGGAGGCTTGGACACCTTACAAATCGATCTGATCTTGCCTAAATGCCTAGTAATAGAGCATTAACCTGATAATTATAAGTTCAAATGCCTGTTCATCAAAATTATAAATGATGTCTGACACAATTGCATCTACTCTTGTGTAAAACGTACTAGCTGTGATTAATACATCGGGAATAGAGATTATATTTTGCTTTAAAGTCATGAAATTTCTATCAGAATCAACAACATCAAAATATATGTTGTTTTCATAATTAATAGGAGGTAATATAGTCTAAATTGGCTTGCTAGCTATTGCATATGATGGAGATAGTAAGACTTTGTACAGTGGGACAGGTGAATCAGAATATTTGATCCTCATTTGAAATTCTAGTTTACTTGAAACAGTTGAGTCCCAATTAGCGGGAGTAAGAATGAAGTTAGCCAAATAAGAAGTAAATTGATTGAAATTTTTTGTAAGCGAGCCCTGTACAAATTAAGTTTGGTCATTAATAGGCTTGTACAGTGCTATAGGTGTTTAAAATAAACCATTAGTAACTGTAACTATAATAAGTATCTCCTGGTAAGAGCTTAGTACGAAAGGTGGGATTCTAATAATTTAATTGCTGGTTACTAATTTATCATTGATAGTAGCAATTCTGACCTTATCCGCCCAGTTAAAGAAATTCCATGAAAATGTAAAAGGCTAGGTCTGTATTGGGCAATTAGCTTAGATAAATGCAGTTTGAGAAATTGTAAAGTTTCTGATGAAATTAATACTGCATTTCGGTTGGTTATTATTATCGATTATTGTTATATAGTAAAAGCCTTAGTTTACACGCGAGTCCTTTGTTATATTAAGAGTAAAAAGATGTGCCTGATTTCTAACTACCCCTTAATAATTACTTAGTGCAAGTATCACTGAGCTCTTAAGATTGAATTTGCAGTTGTTAACAGTTGTTTCTGCTTGATAGCATATTGACTGAATTGCTTCTGGGCAGATCCATTTGCAAACAACAGGGATGTCAGTTGTACCAGAAACAACAGCCTGTGGATCATAAGATGCTGTTCCATCTAGAGTAACATTTTGCTCATTTATGTTAATTACTGACTAGTATGAAACTACTGGGATGAGATCAGGCTTTTAAACTAGTAATGTGAATGATTTCTTAGCGAGATACTCTGTGTCTCCTATCACATACAAAACTGTCACCGACATATAGATATTGATATTTTTGGGCAGTGTTTTTAGTGTGTCACGATCAATCAGTATAGTATTGACATTTCCAAAGTTTTGCCAAAAAATATAATCTATTGATGAACTCGCCCAGACTATCTGATTTAGTCTCGAATTGGCACATTTCTTGTCTGTTACCTTCGCCTAAAGGATGAGCGGAAAAATTGTGTATGTCATAATAGTCTCAAGATCAATGTCTTTCAAGCTCACTTGGTAGCAACCTAAAGGATCAGGCTCAGGAGTAATTTAAACTCGTATTTTGGCCTCTGAACTGGCTCTAGTTGAATCTATGATGTAAAGAATAAAGTTATAGTATTTTCCTGCTTTATTTATTCCTATAGTTTCTCTCTATTCTGGAGTTAAGGTCAAAACTCTCTAGTCAGGCAATGTTACACTTGGGTAGCCCTCTATTTTCCATACAAATTTAAAGCTCTACTTTCTAGTATCGTATGAAGCACTTGCATCAATGTATAAGACTTTATCTCTGTCAACTTGAATTGAACTCAAACTAAATATTGCGTAGAGAGTCTGATCATTCATCTCTAGTATTAATCGATGCATGAAATAGCCACTCATAATATTAGTAGCTGTCTCATATATGAAAACATATATCTTTATTTCTTACTTAGGGTATGACATCAGAACTGTTTTAAGTTAATTTCTTGATATTACAACATCAGTGCCATTAAAAGTAAAGGTTCTCGGGTTAACAAATAAAGGCTTGTTATTTTAGTTTATTGAGGTAATAGTGCTCACAGCATTTGGGAAGCTGCATTAATTCAAATTAACAGTAGGAGAAAGCAACCTTAAATCGGTGAAATTCAAGTTATCATAAAAGATTCTAGTTACCTTGTTAGACTCTCTTGCAATGGTATAATTCAGATTTCTGATGTTAATAGTTAAATTCACGCAATCTATAGGAGCATTTGAATACTCAGGAGGTTCTTAGTATACTACGAGTCTATCAATGGAAGTCTTAAAGAAGTTTGTATTTTTATTCTAAATTGTAGCATTTATTGAATATTCATAGTCAAACGCCCAACTATACTGTATTCTATTAATAGGACTAAATATTGCAGATTTAGATAAAGTAGAGCATTAGATGAAATAAGAGTCACAAGCATAAGAAAATGTCAGTGACCCTGTTTCAGGTTATTAAGGATCAAAAGCTGTGCTGTAATCTATAGGTATAGTATCATAGTATTAAAATACTCTAACTCCTAAAGATTGATATTATAACTATATAGAATAGATTAGAATTGCTTTAAAATAAAATTGCTTACATTTTGAGCTCCGATGTTAAGATAAAAGCTGTCTTTTAAGGTCAATATTTATTGAGGATTAGAAGTGTTAAAAACAGTGAGCGAGAAATCAATAGTATAGAATTGTGCATCTTAAAACTAGGACCAATCTGAAATAACTATCTATCTGGTATTGGCATTAAAACTTAGACCAGCTAAGTTAAATTCACCAGATGTAACATTAAAAGTCTTGCCTGTGGTTCCACAATTTGTATTGATAGTAGGATTAATTACAAAGGTTGCCGCTTTGTAAGCAGTAGAATAACTCTCAAGGAATGATAGCGAAGGACAGGCTGTTTAAAGTTATCTGGATGAAGTGATTGTTTGGAACTATTTGGTTTGCTAGCAGATTAGAGTTGCAAGTAAAAATAGAATTAACCTCATTATAGCTGCTGATAATACTTAAGTAAAATTATTTTAAATTTAAATAGGTATATCCACATTTATATAAATCACACTGCTTCTCAGAATTTCATTGGCCGGGGTTTTGGGGTTTTGGGGAGATCGGAAGAGCG